AACTCTTAAGCCAGCAAAGCAAATAACCATGAATATCCACGCGCGGTAACTTCTTTATAATTATTGGATGCTGAATTCTGTCAAAGGCCTTGGAAAAATCGGTGTAAATTGAATCAACCTGACACCGTTCCTCCAAGGCCTCCGACACAAACTCAGTGTATATGAGTAAGTTTGTCACAGAAGATCGACCTTTCACAAAACCATGTTGCGCAATAGATATAACATATTATGGAAGACTGAACAAATCTTTTTATTTAAAATAGATTCAAATACCTTTGAGGCATTTACCTTAGCAATGGGTCTGTAATTTTCAACTAGTGACTTGTTACCATTTTATGGTGCTACTTATATTAGAACTTTTCAAATTGTCACCCTGTATGTATTTTGCAGAAACGCAAATGAACTTGTAGGCGTTCGAAGGGAGTATGTGTGTATGTGTCTATGCTTACATGAGTATATTCTTTTTTATTCATTATTTTTATTTATTTATTTTTTTTTATTTTTTTTTTTTTCAAATAAAATGCATTTATTATTATTATTACTATTATTGATATTAATACTTTTTACAAAGCAACGAAAAACAAGAAGAGGATGTCTGAAAGCAGGAAAAAAAACCTGGAAGAATATGACCGGCTTACAGCACTGTCACAATAACAAGAATGTCAGAGATCAAAAAAAGAACAAAAAGTAAATCTCAAATCTTAGCGAGACTCGATTTAAACCGCCGTAATCTGTGGGGAACAAACCAGACTCGAAAAAATCCTGGAAGGGCAAGACAATAAATTCAAGAATGCAAGGAAAGAAGTACTTAGAGAAGTTGGAACTGTTTGTGAGGAAGTTTGAACTTTTTGCCAAGAAATGGATAGTGGAGTGGTCAGAAGAAAATTGAAAAGTTGGCATATACTTTAGCATTGGTTTTAGTCTCGGTTTTATGTATTATTCACTGAAGAAATCTAATTTAACAAATGGGTTAGCTAGAGCAATAGTAATAAAATCACATGCATATATTTCTATCGTACGTTTCGTCAATTGTGTGAATTTTGTTTCAAATTATCATGTGCGTGTATTCATTTTGTAGATATTTAATAGTCTTGATGTAATTTTATTGTACCAAGAAAATTCTCTATTCTTACGTAAACGGATATACTCGTAATATGACGTTTTCTAATTATTAATCGCTACTAATTATCGGTTTCTGTGATTTGCTGTTCCTATTGTTCCGGCTTTGTAACTGTAAAGGTGAGGAATGCGTGCGTAATCGTAGTACCAATTCCGGCAAATTAGAAAAAAGTTGTACAGTTTTTGCACTATCGCCTTCACAATCGATTTTTTCTAAGCGACCAACTTTCCTAATTTCATCTACTTAATGAGAATTATTTTTCTTGACACAGAAATGGTAATTGGTTCATAAATAATGCAAAAACTGAATGGAATAAACTCACAAAGGGTTCCCGCTCCTTGCCGGCATATCTGGCGCTAACAGACATAAAATCGTTAAAAACCTCAACAACACAAAGAACAATGCCTTATTGCCGCGAGACCAATAATAATAATTACAATGGTCTTATTGTCAATATGATAATGAAGACATTAAAGTATTTATTACAGAATGCGCCTGTTGTTTTATCAATATTGCACATTTGGGATTTTAACTACCACTGGCCGGAAACGAGGTGTGCAGATATAATAGGCCATTAAATACGATAGACTGATATTATTGTCTTTTTCGAATATTGAAATAAATTTGTCCTTAGTTTGACGCAAATAAATCCATTTGAACTTTTCAATGAATAATTAACCTAAGTTGGTTTTGGCATCCAGAAGAATATGTTTGAATTTAACTCGCAGTTCTTAGTTGTTTCTTGTTATTTGGGACATGACTTTGGACTTGCGTTATTATTATTTTCATTAATCATTGCTATCCTTGTCATTATCAAGCCGAAACTGATAATTGCGAACCGTTTTTTATCTTTGCAAGCTGTTAACTAAATATTCTTTAGATGAAGGGCTGAGTAGATCGAACCAAGAGCCAAGAAAAATAATTGCTTCAAATCATGAAATTATTTCATTCTATCGACTATAGCCTGTGGGTCTTCTGAAAGATGAATTCAATTTATTGGCTTAAGTAAGTGAGTACACAATAGTATATTTTCCTACGAGTGTGCCGTAAAGTACCCTTTACCGCACTCATTTGCGTCCCGTAGGGAGTACTTTACTGCACTAGGGCGGTAAAAATTCTTTACCGCACTCAGTGCTGTAAAAATCCTTTATTTTCAACCATATATGTAATGTTGACATTACAGACTTTTTAAAAGTTTGAAAATGTCACTCTACTGTCTTTTCATTTCCCTGCTCCACTTCCCGTCCTCATTTCCCGTCCTCGTTTCCCGTCCTCATTTCATTATATTTATGTGGCAGGTATTGTCAAGTTTTTTTTTCAAAATTGATGACAATGACATAAAATTTAAGCAAATAGCAAGAAGCTGCGTTCACATTCAATTTAATTTCTAATATAAATTGGCAAAAATTATGGTTAAAAATAAAATAGTATACTATGCTCGACAGGAAATTTAATTACTGTCTCGAGATATAGTTTATCGAGACGCGTAGCGTCGAGATAAACTATAAAATCTCTCGACAGTAATAGTTAATTTCCCGTTTCGGATTGTAATATACTATTATCGCATTTTTGACAGTAATGTGATATATAACTGCATTCAAAATTGAGTGGTAAAGTGCCACTTTACCTCGATAGCAACACTTTACCACATAGCAACGTCATTGATAGCAACCATTTTGAAAGTAAATTTTCATTTGTTAAGCCTTATTCACAGTGTGCGAAATTGCAGCATTTCGCAATTTCACGCCAATCAAATAAATTAAAAATAGGAAATAGTTATTTTATTTCTGGTTATTATAAAAATTGATAATATAATTATTAACTTCTATTTTTTGCGTTTGCCGGATAGACGAATCGGAATGTTGATCCAGGACAACCCCGCCTGAAACAATAAAAAGCGAACGTTCCTTAAAGTGTCGTGTAGAAGAACCTTAAACCTTGACAATGTCAATGTCATGAAAACTAAATTTGTATTTCAAATTTCTATCAAAATTTAGGAAAAAATATCTTATAAACACAGGATTTGAAACAGTTATATTTAATTGATTTACCTTTTCATAAAAAAAAGCCAACATGAGGTCCTCATTTGGCACTTCTTCCGCGTTATTCATTAATTTCCATTGACGGAATTGGTCATATTCTTTCTCATACTTTGATTTTGATTTCTCAGGCAGCAGCCTTGCTGTAGCAGCACGAGCTGCTTCCAAATTCTCGGATTCATTTCACTGGACGCGGTTCCGAAAATTCTTTCTGATTTTTTGTTTGAATAATGAATAATGTCACTGGTTTCTAAGTTACCGAAAAGAAAAACCAGCCAGGCATGGGCCACCAGGCACAGGTCTGTTATGATTTCAAAAATTATGTTGTCTCTCAAAAATAAGAACATTTCTCAATTATTTGAAGACAAAATGCGATAAAATAGTATAAGCAACGCATTTGCAAAGGGTTTTACCAATATCGTGAGGCCTTGGAGCACTCGCTCGCTTCGCTCGCTCGTACACAAAACTGGCCACACTCAATTGGTAAAACCTCACTTTACTAAACTTGTTGCTTAATATACTATTACCGCACTGCCACCAGTTGCAGTCTATTTTTACCTTGAATTTTTACCTTTTTTCTTCAGTGCGGTAAAAATCCTTTGCCGCACTAGTGCGGTAAAGATTCTTTACCGCACTGTATTAAAATTTTAAAAAAACTTGCATTCAAGGTATTTGCATTTGCGTAATCCATAAAATAAAATCATTTATTGTTTTTAACAATCAATATTTGCTACTTTTTATGCATTTTTACTTCTTATTAGATTTTTATTCCAAAAATTATTTGCTCGAAGGAAAAATTTTGTACCTAACACGTGCGTAAAGTGACTTTACCGCCCTTGACGTAAAGGACCACTTTCCGCACTTGTTAGGTAAATAACTATTCCTAACTAGTGTGGAAAGTACCACTTTTCCGCACGCGATTGCAAGTGCGGAAAAGAGACTTTCCGCACGAGTAAGGAACACAATTTTTTCTACGAGATGGAAGTTAATATTTTTACCTACATATTTATCAATTTAAGATATTTTTTTTCACTTTTTCGTACCTGTACCTGTATTATACCTGTAAGTACCCGTATACCTAAAAATTTCAGGTATTCTACTTTTCCGCACTCGCCGAAAAGCACTAGTGCGGAAAAGTGGTACTTTCATGACCTAAAATGCGTGCGGAAAACTACACTTTTCCGCTCGCTCGTAGAAAAAAAAAATGTATTTCCCGAATATCGGAAAATGGGTTTTAAGTTAACAGTTTTGTGTGCTAAGAAATAGGTGCTAACTTCATAGTTGGTTGTCTTGTAGCTTATCTAGTTTTCGGTTTTTGAGCCTTGAACATGCAATAGTTATTTTCTTAATTGCTGCGAAAATTGATACTTTCTAGATGAGGAACCCTTTGCGGAGAAGTGCAACCAAAGTTTACAGGTGCAACTGTGTGAAGGCCGTTTTACAGTTTGCAATTTTATTTGGCTATATTTATTGACTTATTAGGGCTACCAGCTAATACAAAATGCATTCAAGAAAATCCGACAAAGTGTACCAATCTTAAAACTCTCCTTAGGCATGCTAAAACTGGGTATTAATTACATCCGGATATCCTCCTAAATCTTTCAGAGACTATGTTGACGGCCTCGGCGGATAATTTTAGACCCAGTACTTTAATACGAAATGGAATATTATGTCGTTTTTATTGTTTCCTGGATAGGCCAATGAAGAATGTCATATCATTAGTCAAAAGTTCTTTTTTTTACGTAGGTGGTGCCATAATATGTACATTTTCTTAGTATAACATTGTATTAAGGAACCCACAACCTTTTCAGATTATTGTACAATTTTTTGGTTCTTTTCAGGTATTTTCTACAGCCCCGGTCCAGCAAAAACCGTCCATTTTTAACTCATTCAACGCCTCCTGGCACCAGATTGTCCAGCGACAACAGTTTAGGTTCCTTGAGGCTCCAAGTCCAATATACCGAGGATCGCGTTTTTCCGGCAGCTATCTATGACAATCTAAAGACTTTGCTTTTTCAAAGTTTGCATATTCAGGTAAAAGGTTTGTCCATTTCTTATTGATACGAGTATTGAGTATTTGTTTTTTTTTAGCCTGTAACAAATAGCTCGGTCTACGTCTTGGGTGAAATTATTAGCAAAATAGAAATAGCGCCCCCTTTAGTTCGAATACTTTTACACTCGGACAAAGTGGTACCAATTATTAGATCCTTGTCAGAAGTGGAAATTTCAAATGTCACGTAAGTAGATACGTTAGATTTTTTTATTTATTGTGGTCTTACAATAAATTTCCTTTCACACCTTTAAAGTGACCCTATAAGGTGGGTAAAAGGAGAAGAGCCAACAATAATGTATGTAGGTACGAAAACCCAATATGTATTTTAAAAAAAAAATGGCACAACTATAGTTATGAAAGAATTCAAAAGATTTTTTAGTCAACATTAAATTCTCACAATAATAATTAACAATAAGTAGCTGGCCCACAATAATCTTTTTTTTTTCTTCATTCCAACCAAATTCTTTCTTTCTCTTGTAGTTTGTAGTGTTGCGTGGGCACCGCGCTCTCCTGTGTGTTTAAAAGGTAATTTTAATATTAAAGCGCGATCCCACGCGAAATGAGTGATGCGTGGGCGCCTCGTTTTCCATTTATTATTACTAAAATCTTCATAAATAGGCGACAAGTTTGCAGGAGTTGGAGTTGGCAAGCTGAACAGTTTACTTTTCTGAGGTAATATTAATGTTCTCAATTGTTTGAGAACTTTTAGAGTACTGATGGATTTTTATTAAAATATCTACCAGAATTATTTTTCTAGTTTGGAAGTATATTCTGCACTCTCTACCTCTGAAATTCTTGTTGTTTATAGGTATAGCCTACCTATTATCAGTTTTGCCATAACGTGGGCTAGCATTAATTATAGTGCGAACTACACTTGGGATTTATATAAGAACTAAAGGAGCAGCCAATATAGTTGAGATTACCTTAAGCCTTGAGGTGACAGGAAAGGCGCAGCAAAAATAAATTCAAATATAATAGTGATGATTGATGAGTAAACTAAGTATTGCTGCAAACAAAGTCTCAATTATAATTTATTTTTGAGTCACAAAAAAAAATCTAAAACTCAAGAATATTTTATTAGTAAATGCATCCGTAAGGTGGATTCATGAAACATCACGCCATTGCAAGTGCAGAGTCACCAGGCCAAGTAAAAATGCAATACGGTTGCGGTTTTCGGATTTGAACACGCACACCAAGGCGACATTTTATTTTGTCGGCTTGCGGTCTAGGTTTTGAGCTGAATCATCGGAAACTGTTGGTGATGGCGAAGATCTACCACCAATTTCCACCTGTAGATTGTGTGTTGATAAAGGCAGTCTTGCAAAACTATGTTGTATGATAAAAGAGTGAAACTGGTACCCGAAAAGTGGGATAAAACAATAACCTGATCTACGATACAGGAGTGGTGCTGGATATGTTTAAAGTAGTAATACTTAGTATTTGTTGATCAGTATCAGGGTGCGACAATTTGCAAAGTGGCAATCGAGAATACCTCTTGGACAAAAAATACTGTCAGGAAGATCTCAAATACTAGTCGCCGGATTGGAGGGGGAACCAAAACGAGGAACTTACCTCCTTAGGAGGTAGCTACCCCAACTTATTTGCTTTTGATAAGAACCTACTTTATGTTGCACATCGTTGGATAACTCGTTGCTTTCCCTTTATAGTCTTGTAGCAAAATCTTAAATGGTATGATTAGTTTTTGAGATATTGATGTTTAAAAATAAGCAACATTTTTGAAAACTAGTAATTTTGACTATCTCTTAGACAAAAGAATTCTGTCATAAAAGTCTCAAATACACATGGAGAAAACCAAATAATATCCCATAAGGGGTGACTTAAAAAGTGCCTCATTTTGGTTCCTCTCCAATCCCCTGATACATAATTGAGATCTTCCGTAAATACAAAAGTTGTTTCTAATAAAACTATCTACAATTTTTTTGTATTGTTTTTGATGCCACTCTAGTATTATACAGGGTGGACAATGGAACACCCTATATTTCAATACATTTTTACGTAGCTCTTTAAAAGACAATTCCAACGATATACTGGTCATGTGTCTGTGATATACCGTTTTGAACTTATTAGCGATTATTTCATTCATTATAAAATAGACCCATCAGACAACATCATTTTTTGAATGAATTTTGTTTAAATAAGTGATTATTTTTCACAAGACCTTGTTTATCAGCGATTATTTCATTCATTATAAAATAGACCAATCAGACAACGTCATTTTTTGAATAAATTTTGTTTAAATAAGTGATTATTTCACAAGACCTGTTTATCAGCGATTAAATTTTTGTTTACCTTTTTTGACAGAATTTTGATAGAAATATTCTGACATTTTATAATAAAAAATAGAACTTTTTGTTTGTGGCTTCAATCCTAATAATTATTCAGGAAATAATCTAGCCGTATATCACTCGACCTAGAAATTTAAATGGATTAAACTATCCAAATATTTTTCGCACAACAACACAAGCAAAATCATGCTCAAAATATGTTGCATAGTTTAATCGATTAAATTTGAAGGTCTTGTGATATAATATATGATTAAATTTTTGTTTACCTTTTTTGACAGAAGTTTGATAAAAATATTCTGACATTTTTTAATAAATAGAACTCTTTGGATAGGATTGACGCCAACAATTCAATCCTAATTATTCAGGAAATAATCTAACCGTATACCACTCGACCTATAATTTTAAATGGATTAAACTATCCAAATATTTTTTGCATAATTTTGCTTTTTGGCAAATAGTTTCATGCACAATAACTTTTAAATAAAAGCCTTTTATTAAGTTATTGTGCATTCAACTATCTTCCAAGTAAAATCATGCTCAAAATATGTTGGATAGTTTAATCGATTAAATTTAAAGCTCTTGTGATATAATATATGAATATCTCCAGGCTTTGGGATAATTTTAAACAGTCATTGTTACGTTACTCATAAACTTTTAAAACTTTTTTTGCATGATATTTTTTTATAAAATAATGCTCTTCTTCAGACTATATTGTAATTTGAGATATTTGTTTATAAAACGCAGTGTTGCCACGTTTCGCAAAATGTTACGCTTTTCAATGTTTTTCAAATGGGACCTCTTGTAAATTTTCGAGTTTTTGGATAACCCTTTAGAAGACAAATTCAACGATATACTGAAAAAGGGTCTGTAATGCACCGTTTCGGCCTGATTGGCTATTATTTTCAGTTCTAGCATAATATTTCATCTGTCCAAGTCGCCTGGCCCTGGTGAACAACATGACTATTTTCCGTCGACCGTCCATTAACGTGCTTTATAAACGTACAGTCGTGAGCATAAAAAGTGGGACACATGACTGACAGGTCTTGTCATTTTTCGCTATTTTGGGTAAATCAGTATTTTCTCTACAATGGATTTTTTGTCAAAAATGACAATCCCTGTCATTGCCATAGGTATAGCTGATGAGCTCGTTTTACGATAGGAAAAAACGGGTGTCCCTCTTTTTATGCTCACAAATGTATATGTTCAATAATGCCACCATTGATGCAAAGAAAGTACTATTTCAGCTAATCTATTGCAAAATAAGGGATGACATGAGATATTGTGCTAGAACTGAAGCTAAACGCCAATCAGGCCGAAACGGTGCACCACAGGTCCATGTCCAGTATATCGTTAAATTTGTCTTTTAAAAAACAGCCTGTACCTATACATATTTATATTTTGAATTTAGCGAAAAAATTCAAGAATCACCTGTTGTTGCAACAGCAATGGGAAAATAATAAACTCTAAAATCTGATAAATTTTAAAAAGAAATCCGCTAGAACTTATTCTAAATCATCTATAATTAAACCTAAAGGTTAACTGCAGTATGAAATCCAAAGTGAATCACAAATTACTCTTTTTTTCAAATTGTGCCACAAGTTCGCATTCAAACCACGTAGTCTGTTGCTAATATTTCACAACAATTAACAATGGAGAACATGAGTTGGCGCACATACCAAAATCGGCCCTAACATCCGGTGTGATATTTAAGACATGTCAGGATTTTGTTATGCAGGCTTAAACAAGTACCTATAGATTAAATTTTTTCATAAAACCATTAACGTTTATAGTTTAACTCTTTTACTGCCCCTGACTGTATTCAGCTGGTTTAAAAAATAAAGAAAACAATGCGTGACAGACAAGAAATAGAAGGGAGCAATATGCGTACAAAACGGCTTTATTTTTAGCCGATGGGAAAACACAGAAAGAAGTAATTATCTTGTCAAAAGGTGAAACTAAAGGATGATTTTGTTACGGCATTTACGTGCGGCTAGGGTTAATGGAATGGGATGGCGTCAGGCAATTCTATTTTCATATAGAAAAATGTCAAATATAAGCTTGCATGAGTTGCATGCTGTCTCACTAGAAATCTTGAGCAGATTTTTGGTATAAAAAAGTATAATTTAATTTTTCCTTAATGTATAAAACATTTTAGCTCGATACATTATTTTATATTATCTGTGCTCTGTGCTAATAGATCAAAGACAAAAATAGACATTATTTGTTTATTGATAAAGTTTCATGAATGAACCAACAGTTCTCTGTTGTTAACCTTGATCAGGCCCCTTGGTGTGTAAAAATGTTATAATTTGTTTGCCAATCAGGACCGTGCCCAAAATTTTATGAATGGAACCTTTATTTAACCGTGACACGACCAAAAACGGAAATATGATGGTATTATATTGCGTCATAATTCAACAAATTTATCGATATTTTAGCCTAATTAAACCAGTTTTTTTTCTCTCAGGGATCCCACAACAATTTTCCGTGGGAACACTTTGGTTTCCAAGATGATGGACGAAGCTATGAGACTTATTGGACTACAGTACCTGCATAAAACGCTACGACCAACTTTAGAGCTTATTTTCAGGTGAGAGTTTTACAAATTTTGCTTTTTGGGGCCGGTAACTGCTCTTTAAATAGAGGAACATGGAGGAATGTAGGAGAGCCTGGCCAGAGGTCGTCGTTCGGTATGATTGGATAGATATCGGGTCTTCAAAAAAAAAAAAAAAAATCAAAGATTGTTACCTATGTTTTTTTAAACGTATGTCTTAGCAATATTTTTCGTTAATTTTGTCATTGAACTTTAATGTCGTAATGTCATGCCAAAAATCCCGACCAATGAAGAAACAATAATGCGACGAAGACCCGATATGTAGATAGATAGATGAGGCTGAATTAACTGCAAATTAGAAAGTCAGATGGCTCAAATAAATCGGCCTCACTGTTTGCGAATTTTTAGTACAACAATCAGTTTTTCCACCCTCGATATCTCTCGAAGGATGCAAATTTTAAAGTTTGCCTAGACTCGTTGTTCCTTGTTCAAGTTCTAGAATATTATGTTCTGGGAAACCGCACACCAATGACATTACCGGACACCCATCCTTAAATTCATATATCAAAACACCTTTACTTTCTTTATTATTTTTTGAAGCTTTCATTTTCTACAAAACTATTATAGGGCCTGAACGACATTTTATACTTGCGAATAGGCCTTGTGAAACATCAGGGGGTTATAAAAAGATTCATCATCACCATCAAACAACTTTTCACGTCTACTGTCGGACATAGGCCTCCTCTAAACATTTATAGTTTTCTCTGTTTTGGGCAGTTGCGATCCTTTGGCTCCGCTTTGTCGGCTCTTGGTCTCCACTCAATAATTTTTTTCATCTATCTCCCATCTTGGTCTCGATCTTGGTATCCATTCTATAATGTTATCCACTTAAGTTCCTCTGAGAATCCTCCCATTTCTCACCCGATCCCTCAAAGTCCGTCGCAAGCATAAACGTCTCCATTCTCCTTTGTTCCACTCTCAACCTTTTTTCTAATACTAGGGCGAGAGAATAGATTAAGAACGGCAGCACACACTGATTAAATCGAGGGGGATTTCAGTAGTGGAACTGTGTACACTAAATTACCACTTCTGACAGAAATTACCAATAATTTCCTCTAAATTACCACTTTTTTCCTCTATTACCTTTCATTGCCTCAGGAATTACCACTCAATACCACTCAAATTACCACTTATTACCACTAATTTCCTTTAAATACCACTAATTACCACTCTCATTACCACTAATTGCTACTGAAATTACCACTAAATAACACAAATCTATTTTAATTTTCAAGTATATCTGATATTTAGAACTCAATAACATGTTGCTAAGTAGGTATATGATAATAATAACACGATGTAAATTTTTATACGTCTTTAGGGTATTGAAAAATATAATTGTGTACCTACATTAAAAAGCGGGTGTGACCCTAAAAAACGACTTAAGCTACCTAAATCAAGAAAAAAATTCTAAGATCTCTCGAGAAAACAGCAGTCCTATATTCGAAATAGTCTCCGAGAAAATTCCTTATGAAGATGCAGGAGCTTGTGATGTCACAATCGCCGAAATCGGAGTCTTCTGTTCGTTCAGTCGTCAGTGAACCATACCCTATACTTTGAGTGGTTTCAATTCGCCGTAGGGGCGGTTACACACGGACGTGGATGTCTTAATACATATACGTGCATACATCAACGTGCAAACAACAACGTGCATGGCGCTTTTGTACAGACGCTCGCACAAAACTGCAGTCTTGCTATTCTTGCTACGGTGTTCCGAGTGTGCATACAAAATTGCACATTCAAAAAGGCGACGATATTTTGCATACACATTGATGTTTTTGTTTGCACGTTCATGTATGTGCGTACATGTTTTCAGACATCAACGTCCGTGTGTAACCGCCTTAGGAGATAATTGTCTTTTGTTTTGGGAAATTTTTACACGTGTAATGTCCCTGATAATCCAATGTGACGTCACAAACTTCTATTTGTAACTTTAAACCGCCCTAACTCGAAAACGGACCATCGAAGCAAAATGCGGTTTCAGTATTTATTCTCAGATTTTCTTTGTACTAAAACTTTCATTTTTGGGTCACACCCCCTTCAAGCTGCGTAGGTATTATTGGGGGTATTTTAGCGACCTCGCTTCTTCTAAAATAATATGTAATAATTGGTTAGTGGAGAAAACTTTCTAAATATTCTATTTATTACCTTATATTTCGATACCTATAACAAAGTGGCGACAAGAAAAAAATAATAATATCAAAGTTCGAAAAAAAGAATAAGTGCATACAAAAAAAAACTTTAGTCATCATTAATTTCTCTAAAAAACACTTGCATTATTTGTGTCCCAGACACTTTTGGTGACGATGGTAAGTCATGGTATATTATTATGGCCTTTTTTGTTAGAAACTTAGATTACAAAATCGGCAATGCCGTATTTGTTAAGGCTTTGTTAAAGAAAATGATAAAAAATTATACAGTGGAACATATGATGATGCGTTCCGAAGTTATCATTTTGGACAAACCTCGTGGGTCACCCTGTATATATATATATATATTTTTTGCGAAAGATTCCATCAAACAGAAACGTTTAAGCTATAAATGCGCAAAATGCATATTTTCCATCAGAAAATTTCGATCAAAATTGAACACCTTTCAAAAATCAACTACGAAAATTCCCTACCAATTTGAGACCAAATAAATTGGTTGATATAATCCACAAGAAAGGGAGACTGCATTACTCCTAATCTCCTTAAGTACCTACCTATTATTGCTTGAAAAACGACCAATAACCTTCAACGTGGTTAGTAAGAACACGAGTACAAACTCCAAGTTATTGGATCTTGAAATTTAAATTATTTTTTAGTCTCCGATTGCTCGCTCTGCTCGCCAAATCTCAAAGAGAAGATCCTTGGAAATGTAAATCCACCAAAAACGTAAACGATTGGAACCGAGTTCGGAATCAAGTTCAACAGCGACTTCAGAACATTTGGACTCTATTTCGGATTCCATCTAGAAGACGAAAACATGAAAAAATACGAAATTTTACACGCCTTTGCAGTCAAAATTAATACATACACCTAAAAAATCTGTAAAGCTCCTCACAAATATTTGCGTTAATTTACCTAAAAAATCTGTAAAGCTCCTCACAAATATTTGCGTATTTGGCTCGGTATTTGGCATCCATCTAGGATAGGTGAAAATCTAGAAAATTGAAACTAGAGAAACAGAGAGACGAGAACACATAAACACCCAAATATTTGTAGCTATTTGCCGAATGTGTGATGGGGCCTAATATAACAAGAATGCATTCTCTCTACTTTTTCTTTTAGATTTAGAAACACTGAAACACAAAACTGGGCCTTAAATGAAACGAGGCCTTGAAAGTTTCAAAATGAGTAGTGAAAACGACGCTCATAGATTATGTCGAACCAAGTGTTGAACTATTGCAAGGTTGCCACTTCTCATGTAATGAAACCTCAAATGAAACATTCCTTAGAAAATAAAAGTTGATGTTTCTAACTGACTAATAGGGACTCAGAAGAATATTTTACTTAAAGCTTAGTTGAATAGTTTAGTTGAAGCTCTGTTACTTCTAAATTAAAGCAAATTCAAAGGCATATCATAATTTTATCACTACAGAACTTTGAGGTATTACCACAAAATTTCCTTCAATTACCCCCAAAATTGCCTCAAATTACCAAAAATTACCCCGAATTACCACTCTATTTCCACTAATTACCCTAAATTTCCACTAAATACCACTGTATTTCCCCTAATTTCCAGTCATTACCACTCATTTCCCGTAAAATTTCCACTAATTACCACGATTGTGTACACTAAATTACCACAATGAAATCCCCCTCGGATTAAATGCTTTCCATTTTAGAGTGGCCGGTATGTCTGCCTTAAACATATCTTACATTTTTCCATATGCTGTCCATCCTAGAATTATTTTTCTGGAAGGTTCCCTGGTTTGATAGATATATGTATTTGTCCACTTTTTCTAAGTGCTTATTTTCTATTTGGGTCTGCTCACTGAGAACCGGGCTAGTCATCATTTTAGTTTTGGAGGTCTTTCATGAAATTGTAAAGTTTCTCGAGCATATTTTTGGATTCTCCTAAATTGTCGTGATATTTGGACAATATCGTCCTTAAAGCTGAAGTTGCTAAGGTTTTCTCCATCCATGTTTATTCCTTTTCATTTCCAAAGCAATTTCTTAAAGGCGTGTTCGAGAACTGTGATGAACAACTTGGAAGACATAGTGTCGGCTTATCTAACTGCAATTTCAATTTCAATTTCTTGAGTGGTAGAATGACGATTTATTGTTTATATTGCGTTTTTATATATACAATTTTGTAGTATATTTGATCAATTCTGCACTCTTGTGAAGCTTGCAGAAATTTCCACAGTCTTGAACGCCTTTTGGAAGTGGACAAACATCAGTATTAAAGGCCAGTTGTATTGAATGCTTTTTTCTACAAGACTTTTTAGACACTGGATTGTACGAAACCGGATCGGAAGCCAGCCTGTTTTCGCCGTTGATGCAAGTCTAGTTGGCTTTTAGTCGATTCGTTATTATGCCAATTAAAAGTTTCTATAGGTGGTTAAGTAGGCTTATTGGTCTGTAAGTTCTCAAGGTCTGTTCTATGACCTCTCTATGAATATTTTGGCCATGCAGGCATAGATTGAAAAGGTTAATCTTTCCAAGTAGTGCTGATCCACCTGCTTTTACTGCGTCTGTAGCTACTCTAGCATCCTCAGGAGCTTTATTGTTGTTCACCTTCTTCAGAACATTTTGGATTTCTTCCATGGAGATATCAAGCACATCTTATCATACCAGAAATCAGTACAATTTTCATCCATGTATGATCAGAAATAATTCAACCTCTTTTGGTTTGTTCGATAAGGGTTTATCATTTATATAAATTGGGTCTTTAAATAAAACAAAAATTTTATTAAGAAATTATTTATTAAAGTAATTAAATTAAGGTTCTCTTTGGGTATCGTTCATTCCAAAACCTGTAAAAATAGT